ACTATTGAGTTGAGACCTGTTGAATAGTCTGCACATATTCTGATTTTTCCATTACGTTTGCTGACCACAATTGGTGCTGCATATCTTGATGAATTTACTGGAGTAATGATACCCGCTTTTTCTAGCCTTTGAAGTTCATTTTCTATTTCAGTCCTTACTGCGAAGGGAACTGGTCTTTTAGGAAAGAATACTGGCTTTGCATCTGGCAATAGCTTTATGTTGACTTTTGTTTTGCACAGGCCTAGGGTGCTGTAGTCAAAGACAGATTGATACTTACTTTTTAATTCTGCTATGTCGTCTTCAAATGTAATTTGATGGCATCAGGACGTTATTGGTTTTTGCCATAAATTGAAAGACTGTATCCAATCGATTCCCATGATGTTGAGTTTGTCTATATCTGATATATAGCATTTTAATATTTTTGTGTTGTCACCGATCGTAATTTTGCTTTCAAATTCTGCTAGGAGCTTGATTGAATTTGCGTTTGCGTCGCTAGCGCTGTCGTCTGTTGTGTATGCTTCTGGTTTACCTATGAATTTCCATGTTGCGACTGATATTATTGATATGTCTGATGCGGTATCAATTTGAAGCTTTACTGGTTTGTCGTTGATCAGGACTGTTGTATATTTTCTGAGATCTGGGAAATTGATGTTCTTTGTTTGGAAAACTGCATTCGTGTTGAATGGTTTCTTCGACTTGTTGGGTATTTTGGATTTGTTTCCTTTGTTGTCGGACACTGCTTTGAAATTTTTACCTGTTTTTGCGATGTCACAAAAGTAGTCTTTGTGACCAATTTGATGGCATTTGGTGCACTTGTGCTTCCGGTATGTACAAAATTTTGCGTAGTGTAGGTCTCCGCAGTACCAACATGGTGATTTAGGTATTTTGTTTTTCTTCGAGCCTTGTGTATGCTTGTTGAGTGAACATACGGTTTTTGATTGATGCTCAATTAAAATGTTATCTGCCTTGAGGTCGAGAATCCGTTGTGTTTCGTCCACTAGTTGATCTAGATTTATTGCTTTTGATTCATCGTCTAACACCTTTAGTAAACGTATTCTTATTTCGTTGTCTTTTGCTGATTTGAGTCCAAGGACGAAAATGAGGCATTTGAATTGATCGATTTTCAATTCGTTCATTTTAAATAGTTCACATTGTAGGTTTACTCTGCTTGCGTATTCTCTGATATCCTCACTGTCGTTTTTCGATAATTGAAGGCATTTGTACCTTTGTGCAACTTGTGTTTCTGTCTTGCCGAACAGTTTCTTGAGTTTTTCTACTGTATCCTTGAGTGTCATGTCCTCCGGTTTTGCTGGTAAAACGCCATAAAAGAGCTACTTTGTCATGGTCTTCGAGTGTGTTTGCCTCTTTTTCGAAAACATGAACAAACCTGTTGTACCACGCTTGAAATATAAGTCCGCTTTCTGGTTCGTACTCGAATGCTGTCATTGAGTGTGCCAGTGATTCCATTAGCGCTGCTTTAGACGTATTTGCATTTTGTGGTTGTTGTGTAGAACTTGCTGGGCCTTGCGTTTGAAGGAGTTCTGCCATGTGCTTTAGCAATTGCGTCTGTTGTAACATTGCTTTTTGTTGCTCTGCTAGCAAATGCAAAATTGTGTCTTGCGAAATTGTTGATTAAAATTCCAATATCCTCGTCGCCACTTTTGTTGTACTTTTATTCCTTGTTAAATAAAAGTCGAGTTGTAATACTACTAAAGGCGTAAAGTTTATTTATTGAGATGAGCGTTCACAGCTACTAATTTAAAAGATAAAAATGGAATTCGCGAGAATGTGTGACTTATTGAACTGGCGGTTGCACGACTAAGCGTCATATTCCCCAGTATTGCCATATTTAATATAGAACATATGAGATGCCATATTGTTCATGAGGGTTGTCCCTAACAGTATAAATATGTATAGATTTAAATTACAAAACTAATATCAATTTCAGTTGAAAACATAAAACATATTCAATTTCAACATTGCCAATTAAATATTCTCTTTTAACGTAACTGTTAAGTTTATAGTATAATAACACACACATTTTCCAAGTTTAAATATTTTGTATTATAGGCGTTTTTTCATCGAGTAAACCAACTTTTGCAAGTCATAATTGTTCAGAATGTTGTGCTACACATCCAATATTGCAGTTTTGAACGTTTTTATATTTTTGGTTGCCGTTTAGACGCTTTTTCTTATTTGACACTGGTGAAATTGAGCCATATTTGTTTTGGTTGTACTGCTCTTTTACTTTGTACTAAATTTTATTTTGGTGGGCTCAAACTGTATTAACTGCAGCATACAATTATGATAAATAACAAATAAATATCACAAACTATATAGTGTTATTTCGTGCTTCTGCATTTGAAAAAGTTTTTAATAAATGTGCTGCCGTTTACACAAAATCGGAAGAAAATATGAATGGAAACTGTGTTTAAATCTTAACCGATTTTCACGAAACATAACGCACATCACTCTAGACTCAATCCAGTACGCTATGCAAAATTTCGTGCAAATCGAAAGAAATATAGTGGCTTTAATGCATTATTTACATAAAATCGGACGAAAATATATGTGGGAGCTATGTCTAAATTAAAGTGCAGTTACGTCCGTTTGCATTTATGGTGACGATAAATAACTTACTTTCAAAACGATAATTGTGGAATTTACATTGCAAACTTTCAACAACCGTTCTAAAGTTGTACGAAAATTACTAAAGTACAATTTAGTACAATATGTAGTGTGTCAATGAATGGAGATAGATTTTTGAAATTAAATATGTGGGAAGTTTTTCGCTATTCAGGTTCCTGGTAATAAGACGGTTTAGATAATTCCTTAAAATTGTTATGGGAATTGCTATACAGGAATGAAGTTATGAGTTGGATTTGTAAATTAGTTCTATAAGTGCAAAAATACAGCTATTTTTGGTACTAAAATTAAGCATCAGATACAACAACAAATATATAGTCGAAATCGATTATAACGACGGTCAAAGTACTGGCGAAATAGGTGCTTATGTCATTATAAACGATTGATATTTATTTCAATTTATTTCATATACAAGAATCTAGCCCAAACTGCCAAGAGCGTTTTTTTTTTTTTGTCAACAAATATTCTATGAGGAATTGAAATCTTATATTCATGGCTTATTCAAGCGAAAGTGCTATTAATTTTGGAAAATTTACATCATCCTGCCCCTGGCTCCTTTGTATATTTATTTAATTGTGATATCCAAATCTCCCCTTCTCAATGGAAAATTTGTGTGGTAGCAGAAAGATTGAATTACGTAACCTGTATTCATTCCAATCTTTTCATAAGCGTATGTCAAATTCTCGGACCGAAGTGCGGCTATCCACGAATGCTTTTCAATTTAAAAGAACATTTAAAGGTCCACTACGGAATCTCTTTTTAATCGCAAAGATTTGTTGTGGAGTAAAGTTTCACTTATGTCATATATCTCTTGCAAATCGTGATATTTTCGAGAGACACGAGAGACATTATCGAGGCCCATATTTCAGAATGTATGTAAAACCAATGGACAGATGCTAATACAAACTCCGTGCAAGTTTTAGAGACATATAATCCGTAACCCAATTAAAAAAATAATTTTTCGTCATTTGATACTTTTAACCTTTTCTGTTCCTATAAAGTTGCTTCCAAATCTCTCTCTTCTTATAAAAGATTTGGATGTCATAAATCGCCGATAAATAAAGGCGATTCAAAGTGTACTCGCTTTAAATTATACAAATGTTTAGTGCTTTTGGTGGCGAATTTTTCCTATGGACACAACACAATCTCCTTGCAAATTTCACAACACAATCTCCTTGCAAATTGAGAAGTTTTCGTGAGAAATCACAATGGAGCTTATTTTAAAGGTCAGAATCACAAGAACATAAATACATATATTTCTTATCAGGAACCCAATGTGTACTCATGGTATATGTCATTTTTGGAATATTACAAGTGTTCCGTTTTTAAAAATGTATATGTTGTTGCAATAATAAAAATAACATCGTTTTAATTTAAAGTAAATTGGAATAAAACGTCTAAAAATGTTCTTGGCCATTTTCTTTAAAACAATGAAGAATAAAGTTTAAACCCATATGATTGCCATTAATTACGCTGTGATACAAAACAAAACAAAAAAAAATTCGGGGGTTCTAATGTACCAATTCCGTTTAGTTGGAGTCCCTGAACCACGAATATACCTTTGGTTTTTCTGGGTCACTTCGAAAATTAATTTTATAACGGTAAATGTAGAGAAAAACGTGGTTTCATAGATTTTCACATTGAAACGCGTATTACTTATTTTCTTTCTCACGGATTTATATTATTCTTTTTTTTTCATTCGAAGAGTAGAATGTTTTCTTTCAAACAAGATATATATTTGGTAAATCGGTTGAGGATTGACTGAGTTACAGTGGTTGAAATGTGAAAAAATATTGCATAAAATAACAAAATTTATTTTTCTGCGGACTGTACGAAGAAATTATGATATCAAACCGTATAAGTTTTATTATATTACGGGGAAGACAAAATTCTACCCTTCGAAAGAAAAAAAAAGAATAATATAAATCCGTTAGAAAGTAAATAAGTTATTCGCGTTTCAAATTGAAAATATATGAGACCACGTTTTCCTCTACATTTACCGTTATAAAACTAATTTTCGAAGTGACGCAGAAAAACCAAAGGTATACTCGTGGTCCAGGGACTCCAACTAAACAAAATTGGTACATTAGAAACCATGAAAAATTTTCGTGTCGCACAGTGTTATCAAATACACCTTCATAACAATATGAAAAGGTAAAGCCAATCATAATTGTGTAAACCAGCTTTGTAACTGCAAGGACAATAACAGAACATTGGAGGTCCGTATCTCTGCAAGTATAGACTTTCGCAAAAAATATGTGTCATTATAAAGATACACGCAGGAAAAAATTCAAAATGCTACTAAAATCCGAACTATGTAGTGCCATTTGATACAATCTTACAATAAAATTTACCTGTTTGAATAAATTATTGGCCCTGTCCACGATAGTTTTTGGCAAATTGATTCTATCGGCCATCATGGATATTTCTTTGAAAGCCAGGATTAATGACCTATCGGAACTACTCATTGTTCGTCTGTTTTGGTATTTCGGTGATCCAAAGGAGTCAAATGAAGCTGCTCCCGTTCCCGGTCCAATTATTGTTGAAAGATCGCCACCACTCAGCAGAGGATTTTCGGGGCCACCAACACGACTGGGATCCACGCCGCTTTTTTCATTGCTAAAGGTTCGCCACTCAGAACCAACATCTATAACGCGATCTCCAACAACAAGACCACACTCGGAACAAATCATGTCTCCTGCTCTATAATCCTCAATGAGCGGTGCGTCGGGATGTGCATAACAGCAAACTTTGTTAGTATCTCTGTACAAATAACAGTAAAGTATTGCTAAGAACACAAATAATTTCATATTTAAAAAAATATACCTCGAACAACTAGCCATTATCTTAAAATATACGCGAAATTAGAACGAACAAAATGGTTATTATTTATTTGCTATTCTTTCTTTGCAAATGTATCCATATTAGGGATAAGTAAATCGACTTTCGACTAATCGATTAATCGACTTTTCGTATTGAAAAGTAAAAAGGTCGATGTCATCGGCCTATAGGCCTATAAATAAGTTCTCCAAGGGAGACCAGCTGATTATCGATACCTCTCAAGTTTGCTGTCAAAATGCATATTGTGAATTGACTTCCATTATAAAAACGTAAACAAAGTCGAAATTTTTGACATTAGACTTGAGGAAAAACAGCTGTTTACCGATTTCGATTGCTATCTTGGTGACCTTATTAATAGATCTTGTCATGGCCTATAAATAAGGTCACCAAGATAGCAATCGAAATCGGAAAACAGCTGTTTTTTCTCAAGTCTAATGTCAAAAATTTCGACTTTGTTTACGTTTTCATAATGGAAGTCAATTCACAATAATGCATTTTGACAGCAAACTTGAGAGGTATCGATTATCAGCTGGTATCCTTGGGTGACCTTATTTATAGGCCATGAGATCTATTAATAAGGTCACCATCGACTAATCGATTAATCGACTTTTCGTATTGAAAAGTAAAAAAGTCGATGTGAACCAAGATCTATCATGGTCTATAAATAAGGTCACCAAGATAGCAATCGAAATCGGAAAACAGCTGTTTTTTTCTCAAGTCTAATGTCAAAAATTTCGACTTTGCTTACGTTTTCATAATGGAAGTCAATTCACAATAATGCATTTTGACAGCAAACTTGAGAGGTATCGATTATCTGCTGTTCTCCCTGGGTGACCTTATTTATAGGCCATGAGATCTATTAATAAGGTCACCAAGATAGCAATCGAAATCGGAAAACAGCTGTTTTTTCTCAAATCTAATGTCAAAAATTTCGACTTTGTTTACGTTTTCAAAATGGAAGTCAATTCACAATAATGCATTTTGACAGCAAACTTGAGAGGTATCGATAATCAGATGGTCTCCCTTGGTGACCTTATTTATAGGCCATGATGTCAACTTTTGATCTTTGGGGAAAACATAAAGTCGACATTTCAATATCGACTTTCGATTTTCTTTACAAATTCCTTGGCACAATGAATAGGTAGTCCATTTGGCGCAGCTGATGTCTTGATTAACTGTCAAAGTGGGTAATTTCTACATGAATTCGATGTGCAGTGTTGCCAACCATTTGAAATATTATATGGAAAAGTTTGACAGATAATCGAGACAAAAACAAATGTTTTTGTTTTGATACATCACCTTATTATTGCATCATGACAAATACCATGGCATAATTATACAAGGTAGTCTCATGCAGTCATATGTTTCCATTTTTTTTCATAATTTGCCTTTGATAGTATTCAGATTTCAAAATTTAAATGAAAATATCTTCATTCGAAAAGTACGCATACCATGTGTTCAGTGTCAAAAATTTCTAAATAATTTATATTTATAAATATTTTTAAGTTCCCTGCCTCTAATCATTATAAATATAAGATGTAACAATCATGGTTAGTTAAATCTTGAGAGCAATGTTCAGCTTTAGAAAAAAAATTATTTATTGAAAATATCCCAATCCAATTTATGCATCTTATAGTACGTTTACATTTAACCGGATTTCGTTAACCCAGTGGGTTTCAATTGTCAATTCCTTTACATATATGTCAAATAAATCCTCATAAAGTAGGTTAACCCGGTAAAAAGTTCTAATGTAAAAGCCGTTTTAGTCCCAATTTAGATTAGGCGTGTTTACTTGCGGCAAGTCTTTGTTTGCCGGAAAGAGGGCCAAGGGGAATAGAAATTGAAAAAAATGCTCGTACCAGCAATTTTCTGGCAATTCGTTTTTTGTATTTTGTTTGTAGTGTCAATAATTTGAAATAACAATCCAGAACATTGTCAAAAAAGAAAATATTTTTGAAACAGAATTGCCTTGTATAGACGCATGAAGCAAGTTCAAAAGAGATCGATAAGAATTGCCGCAAGTAAACTCGCCTAATTTAAATCAGGACTTAAACGGCTTTTACATTAAAACTTTTTACCGGGTTAACCTACTTTATGAGGATTTATTTGACATATATGCAAAGGAATTGACAATTGAAACCCACTGGGTTTAAATGTAAACGTACTATTATTTTTCATTTTTTTTTTTTTTGAAATTGATAGATGTGTTCCAAATTAAAAAGGGCAGTCGCAAGATCTATTAATAAGGTCACCAAGATAGAAATCGAAATCGGAAAACAACTGTTTTTTCTCAAGTCTAATGTCAAAAATTTCTACTTTGTTTACGTTTTCCTAATGGAAGTCAATTCACAATAATGCATTTTGACAGCAAACTTGAGAGGTATCGATAATCAGCTGGTCTCCCTTGGTGACCTTATTTATAGGCCATGGGCAGTCGTAAATCAGCAACTGTTGATGCTAGACTTCTGTCTCTAACGCTGGTCGTTCTTTTTTCTTTTTGTGATCTTTTTTACAACAACAATTGTTAACGGTTTTTATTTACATAGTTACTCTATGTTAAAGCAACAATCTTTTATTTTTGCACAGTATCTACAAAACAAACAGTGTCAAATTGATTTTTTGAATTTTCATGATGGATGGTAATGGGGAACCACCCCCTCCTCCAAAACCACCTATAGGGGTATTAGACAATCAAAAGAGACGTGCCGAAAGCATTGCAAACCAAAACAAATCATTGAAAAATAACAGTGGAAAACCAATAACGAAAGCAGAGGAGACAGAAATGTCTTCAAAATGCAACTTGGATTTGCTTGAAAATGTAGTCACTACCTACCCAAAACTGCAACCGGGTCCATTTTACGTTATAGTGAAATCAGAGTCACCGATCAGTATCAGAAGAAAAAATTGTGAACTTCATTTATACGTGCGGTTCCAGAAAATTGGTTTGGAAAATAATTACGTTTGCAAAAACATCGGTTACAATACGTTCCGTCTAACGTTCAACAACCCTACTGCCGCAAACAACTATATTCAAAATTCAAGGCTAACTGAAATAGGCGTTACTGCAGGAATTCCGGCTCGTTTTGTACAAAAGTACTATATAATCAGAAACGTTCCAACATCCATAACTGGAGCTACAATTAAAGAATCCATCGAAGCTGACAATGACATGACAGTTCTTTCATTCTATCGTTTCACAAGGAGAAATAAGCAAAATCAAACTTCTCTAACAGAGACAGTTAAAATCGGTATTGTGTATGATGGTGTCCCAAAATCCATTTTCATGTGTAGTACCAGAGTTACCCCCGAACTATATGTTCCACAGTCCAGACTGAAGAAATATACAAAGCGTAATGGCACCACCAATCTGTCGAGGACAGAAGTAAAACAAAAATATTCTTTTTCAAATAACTACTATCAGATTCGTTCAATGATGAAATTAATAGAAGGCTTACAAAAACCAAATACAGCAAAATGTTTATTCCACCAAAAAAGATATCACATACAGTGACAAGTCCAATCCATTTAACACCAACAAAACCAGTCTATGATCATTCTAGTTTTTCCAAAGTCACTGACGTTGAAAAAGCACTAGCACTTTTTACAACACAGATGGCCAAAATTTTGTCATCATTAAACAGCACAGAAGGACTAAACATCCTAAAGGAATTTCAAAGCTCCATCTTTGGAGGTCAAGCATTTTTTTCAATTTCTATTCCCCTTGGCCCTCTTTCCGGCAAACAAAGACTTGCCGCAAGTAAACTCGGCTAATTTAAATCAGGACTTAAACGGCTTTTACATTAAAACTTTTTACCGGGTTAACCTACTTTATGAGGATTTATTTGACATATATGTAAAGGAATTGACAATTGAAACCCACTGGGTTAACGAAATCCGGTTAAATGTAAATGTTGAGGCGAGGGGTTTGGTCCACTCCTCGCCGTGGTGGTGTGTGGGGGGTGGTTGGGGGGTGATCAATGTATTAACTCAAGGGAGCGGGGTGAAGCGACAACGAGAGCTCCCAAGCTGTTAATGGTGTAAATGGAAAAGAAAAGAAAGGTTCAAAGAAATAAAACACAAGAAAGTATTAGTTAAAGTATTCTAATTATCTTGGATTTATTGGTGGTAATCTTTTCTTAATACAACAAATAAATTACCTCTTGTAATTTATGGTGGCGGCGCTGAGACCTGTTAATAACGCGTAGACGTTATACGACTAGTTACTTCTTAGGAGGTTGGTCGACAAGTTAACTCTAAGGAGGTTAAACGACAAGTGAACGCTGTGGTTCATGCAGTCACAGAGGATTGCGGTGATCGCTGAGGATCGGTTGTCGTTTACTACTACATTAACATATTCCAATGGGAGAAAAGTGTCGAGCAAGGAGAGCAAACCAGCAACAACCACCGCTCGGTGGCATCTGCACTCTACGGTCTCCGCTGAGGGAACTTGCAGAGGAGATGCCCGTGGTGTCAATCAGCAGACGTGATTGACTGAGCTCGGGAAGTTGAGTCAGAATATATCAAACTTATACATTCCGGCCCCCTTGCTACGACCGACAAAGTAGCAATTAACAATTTAATTGGAATATGGGTTAGTAAAATCTATATATGAACGTAAATTCAGATTTCAAGTGAGCTTCATGTTACAAATTTAGTAAACGACACAAGTTCAGTAAATGGGTGACTCGTGTATACAAACGATATTCAAGCAATAAGGTGATCTATTTCTATTATACGTGGGATATTAGGTGCCTGGAACTGAACCGGTCAGTATATACCCGAATATAGACTTTTGGGCCAACAACGAATTTAAAACTAATTTTGGTGGTTCGGTTTCCAGTATTTGGGGATAAAGATCAGCGCCAAGTAGCAAATCTATTGGGCTGCCGTCAAAAGTATCAGCTAAATCTAAATTAGGAAATCTAGATTTTAACGTCGATATGGGTGGATGCGAAAACAATTTCCCCTTGACATTAGGCCGAACAAATGCCTTTGCGTCAACAATTTTAGACGAATTTTTGGGGGAAGACAACTTAAGAGAACACATTTCTCTTGGTGTGGCAGGGTTGGATTCCTTCTTCGAATTAGCAGAAATGCCAAGTGCATTTTTAAGTTTTTTACTTACAACAGATACCTCGGATTGTGTCGGGTGTGTTTTTCCATTATGAACAATATTTACTACTGCTGTTCCTAAGAGAACATTGGTATCTTGGGAGGGGTTAGGTATCGGTGGATTTACAACTTTTTTATTCGAAGAAGGGTGCGACACATTAGAATCTCGACTTTTGACTTTGGTAAAAGCCGGAGAAGGGTTTACCGAAAAACGGGGCAACGAAGTCTGTCCTCGACTTTTGACCTTTGTAAAAGCCGGAGGTGGATTGGAGGGAGCAACATCTTTATTGATTGGTGACCGGTGAAGAAGGCTGTGGTGCCTTTGCTTGCATATAGTTATGTTTACTATTGCACGTTTTGACTACATGTCCACGAGACAAACAATTTACACAACATTTATTTTTCTTAACAATCGAGAATTTGTCCTCAAACGGAAGTTTTAAAAACTGGGGGCAGAGTCGAAGATGGTGGCTCTGATTAGGACAAATGGAGCAAGAAGTTGGGGAGGGTGAATTTATAACTCGAGGTGGGGTAACACATTTAGAATTATGTACCGACAACAATTTATTGAGAGATTGTGGTGAAGCGTTATTACTAGGTGACAACTTCTTAGAAGAAGAATGCTTTTTCTTTGGCAACAACAACTTATTTTTGGAGGGGAGGACGTGTTCTAGACAAATCAATGTTTGTATCCTCTCTGTCAGGAAATTGTCCAATTCTTTCCAAGAGGACAACGACGATTTATTTTTTATACTTTGCTCCCACAGAGTCAAAGTCATTTTCGGAAATCGCTGCAAGCAAATAAAAACAATAAACGGATCCCAATGATCCGTGGTGACGTCATAGACTGACATTGCAGAGAGGCAACTATTTATCCCACGTTGGATAGCTTTAAGGCCCGAAACAGTTTCAACTTTTGTGGAGGGGAGTTCAAACAAACATTTAAGGTGACTATTAACAACGATACGCTTATTCTCATACGTATCTGAGAGGGCTTTCCACGCTAGAGGGAAACTACAATTAGTGAGTGGAAATCTGGAAACGATTTCACGAGCCTCACCGGTGGTCTTCTGTATTAGATGACAGAGACGTTCAATGTCTGATATTTGAGAATTATTTACAAATATGGTGGTGAAAAGATCGCGAAAGGTGGGCCAAGATATAAAATCACTAGAAAAAACTTCAATGTCGATAGGTGGAACAACAAGGCTATGATTATCGACAGGTGGATTGGTGTAGCTAGTGGTGGTGGAAGAATTTTGCAATTCACAAGTAACTATAGGAGTGGTGGACTGCACAGTATTCGAAGTTGAAGGTGGGGACAAGGTGATAGGTGGCATATAATTCTGACAATTTGATGGAGATGGTGAAACCGGAGGAGATTGTGTAACTGGTGGAGCTATAG